TATTTATTTTTGATTGTGCTATGAATTTTTTAAAATGTACTACCAGTAGTACAAAAGCCTAAATCCTATCCATTAATTGTAATTAAATAGAATTAAAGCTTTAATTTCGCATACCAATAAAGTATAAGTAATCAATTGATGAGCTGATATCAAAATCTACACCTGGTGTTAAATTAAGTTTATAAGCTGGATAATATCCAATAAGTTTATTTGGTTTGATTGGTGATAGGTTGCACGAATCCTGACTTAACGCCTTTTGTCTCAGCACAAATATAAAAAAGACATAAATAAAACAACATGAACTAAAGAAGGATGAAAATGATCGAATTTTCATGGTTATTATAATGCCATAAAAATTAAAAACAGAGTTACATGAATAAAACATGAATATATGGGATAAAATGCACAGAAAAAAAATTAGCATCTAGATAGTTTTTTTTTTTAAAAAAAAAAGCTACAAATGAATATGTACAGTATTAGGATTGTTCCATATAAATATTTAATTTTGTCATTATCGATACGGAGTGTCACAGAAAAGCTAGATGGAAGGAAATACGAATTTAAATTGATGCACAAGGGTGAAATGAAGGTGATACTTCATAGTTCCTTAGTGATGTCAGAAGAAATCAGGGTTAAAATAGGTGTATCAACAATATGCATTGCCTTGGTTTATTCAATCTCAATAAAAATCATGCCAAACTGCACTCTCATATTGTCTACTTTTAAAAGCTACGTTGCTATATGTTGCAGAACTAGATAGAACACATTTTTTCTTTACAAACTGACCCATTTTACATGTCATGATATTTATAATTTTAAACAATTCCAAAGTGACAATTTTTTTGAAAATGAAAATATTTTTTAGAGTATAATTTATCAGTTCAACTTCGGTTTGCATATACCTAAAGAATAATTTTCAATGTGTATTAGGGAATCGCACACATGTACATACTTGGTACTCACTCACTTTATATTTCTATAAAAATGATGAAAGCAAATTAACATGACAGCATAATGTATCGATATATTATTAAACATAACGGATCCCAATGTTCTCCTCTTGCAGACTACGTTTTTAGATTATAAGTTAATTGGAAACAGTGTAATACAGTAATAAAATAATTGCATATTTATATTTGCAAACTATTATCCTGTGGTCTTTAGAATTAATCTTTGCAATATCCAAATAAGTTCGCAGTTTTTATTTATTTATTTTTTTACAAAGAGAACGAATATGCGTTTAGTCTACACGTAATGGAGATGCTGATAAAATAGTTAAGGTAAGTAATAAATATCAAGCATACATTAAAAAGACTCAATAACGTTAATAGTAATGATAAATTGCACGTTATAAATAATTCTATCAGTCCTGCTACCGACTGATTGGAATAATTTAGCTGTTTTTTTTAATATGAATCCTAGTAATTGGATATACGATCCGAATAGCGCTCAAAATTCGAAATTCGGTAATGATTTAGTTAGAATTGTTAATCCTAGCTTTGACGGAGTAAGATTAACTAATTTTATTTTATATTGTTTATGTGATTATTTGGGTGCCGCCAATGAAAACCAGTAATTCTTGCATTTCGGATTTAACACTTAACGGAATAAGCACCGAAGAATAATATATTGTTACATTATTTCGTCATATTAATATCGATGCTTAAATCGATATCATTAGGTTTTTCAAAGTCCGGTAAGCCCGTGTCTTGTGAAATGACATCCGAAAATCAAGGATTCTGATTTTCCTCTGGCGGCATCCATTTATTAAATAATTAATCAATCTCTATTAACTTGTAGATTGATATTGATTATCCTTATAAACTTCCATGCGGTCCGTCCGGACTTGATGATATTTTTTCAGGTTTCCTAAATGCCATATCAGCACAATTAGGTAATAAGAATTTAACGATTACAGCAGGCCAATATCCTATAAATGACATCAACTCAAATATCATTAATTAAGGATCTATAAGATTGGCATGGCTATCTTTACCGTGTTTATTTATTACGTAATTGTCTTTTATGCAGTGTGATTGTGTTTTTGCCGTAAGTGAAAATTTTTAACCAAATCGT